CAGAGCGGGAGTGAGCGCCCGGCCGGCTGCTCCCGAAATAATACCAGGACTCGTGGCTGGCCACGAGACGGAAGGGAAGCCCAGCCGCGGAAGGACCGCGCCTCTATTTGATCGCGGTTATTCACGATGCTTCGCTGGCAGGACAGCTGAAAGCCGGGACGGGGGAGCAGCGAGGAAGACGGCTGGTCGCGGCTGAGTCTGGTCCAGCTTGCGTGCTTAGATGAAGCGGGAGAGCCTTCGGGTGCGGATGTTAGGTCCCGTAAAGGAGATTCAGTTTTAGTGGAGACCCCCGGGAAGAAGAACCACCATGCAATTTCGTGTCTTTGAATTACCGTAATGCGACATTCGGTCGGGATCTTCTTTAGTCCCTGCAATCTCTTTCTCTCTGGCTCTCATATGAACTTACACAACACCCCTCACAACAAAAGACTGCTATTCCCACCGTCAGTAGCAGGGTCAAGAAGCTGGCACGCAGCGGGTACGGGCACAGTGGGAACAGGGCTGCAAGTCAGCCCCCAAGTCCCGTTCAGCAATGAGGGAGAACACCAGAAAGGGGCGGCCAGGCGTTTTCCCCTATGGCCAAGCGGAGGGATGTTAGCAGCTGCAGTCCACTTATACCCACCCCCGAGCAACACCTTTCCAGTTTAAAGGGGATGATCGATACTTGGACACTGACCTTAAAAATCAGTCATATGAGCCACAAAACAAGCCCAGCGCGGCTGCCTGGTTTTGGGCCGCTGGGAAATTAGCTGCGTAAGCCAGGTTTGTACGTGAGGAAGGGGAGGAAAGGTGGCAAAGAGGATCCAGTGCAAGCGAGGAATCTCCCCTCAGATGCCCACTCCCTGTCTATAATTCCGCCACGCTTCAGTCTGCAAAACTTTCAACATAGCTGCTAAACATTTGAAAATCACAAAATCCAAACAACACACAGCAGATAATTTCATGCATGAGAAGGCAAGGGAAACTGGTGCTATTCAGCATGATGCCAGGTGCCATTCTCTTGCTCAGATCTTTTTCTTGGCTTTCACCAGGCCTCCACAATTACTTTGGTTTCTTTGAGGAAACAAGTACATAGGGGTAAATCGAGAATTTTAAGTTCCAAAATACACCCAAAAATTGGGTTCAGCTTATCTGCGACTGCACATGCTAATACTTTTGAAAGTATCTGTATATGCTCATGGATAAGCCCATCCACAGATAAGCTGGCCCTCAAATTTTTAACATCATGAAAAATGTGCCACCCGCAGATAAGCCAATTGTGAAAATTGATCATTTTGGGGATCAGCTTATCTGCCCATAATAACAATTTAGCAAACCCTTAGTAAGTCCCAAAGGTGTTCTTACAAAATAAAAATAAAGAGCTGATCATGAAAAATGTGCCACCCTCAGCTAACACACATGTTCTGAAATATTTGTATCCTGGTATCCTGTATGTCCAAATATCTTGCCCCTGTGTAGAGAGGGAGACAACTTTGACAGAAACAGGCAAAGAGGGCTGAAACATTGTTTAAGCCCTGGGAAGCAAGACAATACAGGTAGCCCTTATTTAGCGACCACAATTGGGACCTGCAACTCAGTCATTAAGCGAAGCGGTCGCTAAGAGAAACCACAACTGTGCCTACAATCTTACTTCAGCTTTCATTTACAGACCTGTGAAGGTTGTAAATGCAAGGATCGGTCGTAAAGTTACTTTTTCATCACCGTCATAACTGCGAACAGTCACTAAGCAAGGACTACTGATATTCGGAAGTGGCTCGGGCAAATGCCTCCCTGATTCACTGGGTATAAGAGGGAAGGGAGGAGAAGCACAGCCTTAACAGATTCTGTTGTTATGGCCTATCTTAGATTTCCCTGTGGAGATGATTTTCTGGTCTAGTCTACATAGCTGGCATCCAGTTAGCAGCCTAATTGATGCACCAGGTAGCATTAAAGGTCTCAGGAGAAGTACTTGAGCAGAAGCCAGGCTCTTTGACTCAGAAGAGCCACCCTCCAAATCCCACTGGAGACCCAAGGTAGAGAAGAGAGAGCCAGAGACAAAACTCAGGATGGTACCACTCCCTCTTTCATGTTTGGGAACCAGCTGGACCACCCTTGCATCTCACTTCAGCTCCCCAACTTCCAGACCTGGAAATCGACAGGAAGACAGAGAGGAGGCTGTCTGATATATGCAATTCTGTCCTCTAAGAGAAGGAAAGAGCGGGCTTAGGAAGAACAGCCAAGGAGTTTCTGCTGCTGAGACCGGGGGCTTCACCTTACCCAATGGGTGTGCCAGCCCCACAAGTAGGAGGATTGGGGAAATCGGCTAATCCACTGCAAGGGAAAACACCATGCACACTGATGGATGCTCCCTTTTATTATTCGCTTGTCCCAAGGCTGGGCCCTGAGCTTCCCTCATCTGTTGAAGCCTCAACTCAGCTCCCCCTTGTGCCTGTGGGGAGGGGCTCCAGCAGAGAGAAGCAAAGCAGACTTCCAGGAAGGACAGTCACAGAAACATTTTAAGGTGTCCTTTTATTAAAATGTGCGTCACTGTTCTGTGTGGCTTGCTTCACTGTTGTCTGGCTGTCAGCGTGTTTCCTGGGACAGCCACTGTGGCCTCAGCACTTGAGCCCGACCTGAGGGAGTCTTCAGGTAGTTCGTGGCCTGTGGCTCCCACCCATGGCAATATAGACGTCAATGGGGACGTTGGGCAAGGTCAGGCAGTGGCACCCTGGACATCTTCGCAGCTGCCTGCCCGGGAGAGAGAGAGGGGGGGGGGAGGGAGGGGGGAGAACCTCTGGGTTTATCAGAAGCTGCAGATGCACCACCACAGAAGACAGCAAAATCGTGTCCCAGAATGTCCTCCTTTTAAAAGAGAGAAAGAGTCTTTTCTGGGCAGAAATTACTTTCTAAACTTCACTGACTTAGCCTTCCCAACATACTGCATCGTTCATTCCAGCTTTCCCTCTGGCTGGAGGCTCAGTGCAAAGGGACACAGAACAAGACACAGATCTGATCCACTGGACATTTACCCAGGGGGGCAACCCATAGCTTGTATGTGGACCCAAGTCCCCTTTTTTCATAGCCTTTGTGCCTTACTGAAGTTCAGTGGCAACCTGATGAATTTCATCCGCAAAGAATTTGGAAATGGTTATCAGAGGGAAAAGGGGGCAAAAGAACCCCCAAAGAACATGCTCCCAGAGATACCCCAAAAATATCCCTCTAGTGACACCACTGCATCATGGGCCACGCTGTGTAACCCTTGGAGACTCTACAAAATTAAAAATGCAAGGAGGAAATAACTTCACTAAAAGGAAGTTCTGTTGCACATCCCCTGCTGAAATAAAGTAAGGATGTGCAAGAGTAGCCGTGGAGGGAGGGAAGAGAGAATTTGGTCCTGGACTAAAGTACTTTCTCACACAACATTTCCTACTGTTCTTCAGAAATACCCATCAAGGATTTATGGAACATACTACAATTGTGTCTGAGATCCTGAATTCCTCTGTAGTTACGATATAATTCAGGGGGAAGAAACCTGGTATCCCTTAACAACATTGTGCCTAATTCCTGCCTTACATAGTTTGAAAAGATTGTAATTAAAATAAATGTATGGGAAGCAGACATGTTGCAAAGCAAAGGGCCAGTTCCAGTGCCCACATAATTTCCAGTCATGCTTCTAGATCCCAGGGGCATAGATACTTCCTAAGAAAGCGTGCCCACCAAAAAAAAAAGACAAAGATAAACGGAGGTGGCAGAAATCATCCTTGGAGATGAGAAGCCTCTGGTGGAGCATCTCAGCAGATGGCCTTCTGCTGAACAGATGTTGGTGACCAACCACATCACCAGGGCAGCTGTTTTATGACAAAGGAAATCTCCACAGGCAACCGCAAGGGTGGCCATCAGGCAAACTTCGCCCTGTTGGTACTTGCGCACCATGTCTCAGCGCCATTATGAAAGGGTGGAACTTGCACTGTGACATCACCACGTGAGTTTGGTCATTTTGGCATCATCCGGGCTAGGAATGGATACCAGTGCAAATCTCTCCACCCCCTGCAGCTGTACCAACTATTCTGTGAGCGTGTCCATGTCGTGCCTCTGCCCCAATCCAACAAGGCTGCTTTCCCGGCTTTAATCCAGTAAGACGCTAAATTATTTCTAATAAGCCACTGCTGTAAAACTAAAGACAGAAACTTATTTTTTCCTTAGACCATATTTCTAGGATAATTTCCCTTTTCTAAAATATATCTTAAAACTCTCCCAACAAATGATGAACTATTTTTATACCTTATAAATTAATTTATTCTAACGCGCATCCCACCTACTCACACACATCCTTGAGGGCACCTTCTTATGTTCAGTGCTGGGCTTGCTTTTTAAGCAAAGTTAACGTGGTGTTCAGTGACTGCTGGAAGATTCAGCCCCGAACAGCCATTTCCCCCAGCAGGCGTGAAAGGACATTGATGGATTTCTTTGGACCGCTTCTCTTTCCAAAGTTAGACCCCCCACACACACTTAGATCAACTGGCCGCGCAGAGCCAGAAAAGTACGTGGAATCACCATTGACTCTTTTCTTTAAAGGGAGAGGAACATGGGTAGTTTTGCTTGTCTCTGCAAGCTCTTTGCTCACCTTGTGGCAGCGCGCTCGGGGGCTACTGGCTCCTGAGTTTCGGGGGCCGTTGCCAGGCTGGGAGAATCTCCTGCCTCTATTGGAAATCTCCGAGCTTGTGGGGTCTCTTGGGAGCTCATGTCCGAGCCCCAGACCTGTCTGAGGAAGAGGAGAAGGGTGAGTGGGGCAAGGCCCCATCCCTTGCCCCACGCCACGCACAAACACCACTTCAGAGCCCCCCAAATGGCCCTAGAATTGACCTCAGAAAGGGTGGCCATGAAGACACAGCAGAGGGATAAGAAGAGCAAATGAGTGCCTGCCAGCTGGGCAAGGCAAGGGGGCCCATAGAGGGGCCCAAGAAATTCCTGAGGGCCACCGCACTCGTGCATTCATCAGCCCATTGCATGAGTGTGATTTTTGTATTCCCAAAAGTTACGTGTTAGATTTTCAAGTGTTACTGCTGAGCCTTAATTTTTATGGATTTTTTTTTGTAGGCAATGTCTCAGAATTACTTTGATACATAAATGGGGACGGAGAGAGAAATTTGAAAGTCAGTTCAGAGTGTTGGAAATGCAACGGAAGCAGCCATGCCTCTTCTCTAAAGTGATCTCCCCCCAGTTTTGTGTCACTCCCACTATTATGTTGTTCAGGAAATTACTGAAGACCTGGTTCTTCTCCCAGGCCTTGGGGACAGAGGGACTATGGAGCCTCCTCCTTGTTTGGCTTTGTTTTATTTGGATCTGACTTGTTTGGGTCTTGTTTTTATTTTATTTTATATTGCTCTTCCAGTCAGCTGTCTTCTTTTAATATGTTGGCTTTTAGTTGTAAGTCACCCATAATCATTTAGGAGTCAGCCAGCCTATAAATTAATTAAATTTTTAAAACATTTTTTAAAAAATGCAACGAGTGATCTTTTGGATGGGAATGTCACCAAATATCTAGCATTTCTATATTCCTGATTAATGTAATCCAGCCTTGGTGGAACCACAGGTTATTAGAAACTTATTCATAACCAGCTCCATGACCCAGCTGCCCCTCCTGCTACCCCACCTCTGAAGATTTGTCATTGTACTACATATGGCTGTACTAGTTATTTAAATTTGATCGTACGCCTTTCGTGGCACCTGGATCCTGGCACAGAAGTATTCTTCAGGAGAAACGTCCTAGCACGATGGCTGGAGATGCTCCTAGTTGAAGAACCGGCTGTGTCGGATGGCACCGCCCGTCCCACTATAGAGAGTGATATCAGGAGCGCTGCACCTGAGGGAGCCTGGTGGCTTTCTTCCTCCTTCAGAGCCTCTTCCCCCCAGCAGCTTTGCCCTAGCCTTACCTATCAAAGGCGGAGGAGTGCTCCCTAGAGTCGACCTGGCAGCTTGAAGAGCCTACTGTAAAGGGCAGGCTGGAATAGAGCCCAGAGGGAGGCAACGACTCCGGTTGCATTGTGACCCAGAAGGGTGGTGGTTGCATCACAATGGAACCTGATCTTCTCTCTGCTTGGAGTCCCTAGGCTAAGGAATCCCAGACTGAGACCTCCACCCAAGTCATCTTCAGGCCATTCCCTTCCCGATCCTGGGAAGAATGAAAGCCTCTCGCATCCAACTTTGGCTTCTTCCTGGATTTCTCCAGGAACCCATGTGGTGGGCAGGAAGAGAAAGGAATGGTGAGCGAATACTCTCGCATGAAAAAGCCAACCAGACTGATATGTGGTACCTCCAGAGCAAAATTGACCTGGAAGACCAACACTTCCTACACAGTGCCTTGTTCCACCAGCAGGTAAGAACTTGTTTATACTTGTATACCATGAGTCCACATCAGCATAAGTGTTTACATGGGAGCGCCCAGCAATCCCCCCACCCCCTGCTTAGCCTGCCTCCCTGAAGATGGATGGCCAGCCATTCTGGATCACAGCAGCCACACTTGTTTTGTGGCTTTCCTTGGGAAGAGACCTTACCTAAGCTGGAGAAAAATAACATAAAACAAAAACTGCTCTTAAATTGTCTATACATTCTATTAGGAGGTTTCTTATGAGAAAGGAAACGTCTGTTTCCAGATTCTTCAGATCTGAACTGTCATAACATTCAACTACACAACTACTGGCTGTGAATGAAGTTTGTGCTCTCAACATACAGGATAGCAGCTTCCAGGTTGATCAGAAGTAGCCATGCTACTTTAAAAAAGCCACAAAATGGAGTTGTGATCTTTTTGTAACAGCTACCAGCAACTAAGGAAATCCCTCTGTTTCAACAAACATGGATTCTGATCAGGCTGGTTAGTGAAAAAACAGCTGCCACCAACTTGAAGAATAAACTGCTACACAACTTTGTGAGGGCCCTACCATAAAACTGGGCTTTTAAAGGATTTAGACATTAAATGCTTACTTAAACATGACAAAGATACTTTGTCTAACAGCAGAACAACTTCCTTGCAGCAGGCTTTCCTAAGCCAGGGCTTCCCAGGATTCAGCTCATACCCAGCTTATGTAGTCTCTTATCTACACAAGTAATAGCTCTGGCTACCAGACAGTGAGACCAAGATCAAGGTACAGATGTGCCTCAGCACATCCTACTTCTGAACTGCTGTGATGCACTCTGAATTGGCTTTTTAGAAGAGAAGACTGGCCTAAATGGTCTACTACTAGACTTACTGACCACAGCATCTTCTGTGTTCCTCTAGACACAATAATTGGTGGCTTTTGTTTTGATGTTTCAAATGTTTGCTCTGAGAATTTGATCTGATCAAGACAGACAATATCAAAGGTGCCAGATGCATTTCTGCTAGCATTATTCAACTGTAGCCACTGGTGTAAGTTGATTGGTATCCCATCATTTCTCTTGGGAGCTGAAAACATCACCATGTAGTAGCTTATGTTGAAAGATGGAGGCTTATCCAAGCCATTGTCACAATTCAGAGGAGTGGAGACCCAAACCAGGATTTCTTTGTATCAAGTTTCGACCATATGGACCAGATTTCTCTAATCTTGTGTCCTCCAGGTATAGTAGCTGCACTTGCCAACCAGGGCCAAGAAACGACTCTCACCTGAGTCATATTGAACCTCCCTGTCCTAACCAATTCAACTGCTGAATTTGGACTGATGATCAATTCTAAAGCCCACAGTCTCTTCCCGGTACATCCAACAAGTACAACTCCTTAAGAAATTATCTCCATAAGTAAGACAGAGTTTGAGGGACTTGTAATACTTACTCTTAAGGCTTGCCTGATGTAGCTAGACCCAAGCCCTGCCAAGTAGCTTCAAGCCAGCAGACTTCCATGGTGTGGAAAACAGGCAAACTTAACCATCCATGTTCAACCTAATAATGATTAGCCCTACCTACACTACAATACGAGCTATAATAATTTCTTACCCAAGGCCTCACAGCGTTAGGCCTCTTGGTAGGTTAACCCATCATCCCCCTGAAGGGCACTGCAGATAGTCCAGGACTGAAGCAACACTTGTCCTGCTGAGGAGTATATGTGCCTGCCTCTCATTGGTGCAAAATCACTATCTCCCCCCGTGGTCCTCAGGTAACACAAGGTTGCATCACAATGGAGGCTCAAAGTTTCAAGATGTCCAATCTCAGTTTCACCCCTCATCGAAGGACCTTGTCTGGGCAGGAAAAAATGATCTAGCATCCTGGGCTGCAGCCAATGCAGACCCTGGTCTGGGTGGAGAAGGACAGCGATGTATATACTTTGTGATGACATGATGTCCTGAGAATGACAGACGAGCAAGTTAAAGACACGATGGAGGAGTTTCTTCTCTCCCATGGTTACCAGATGGGCAAAACCATTGGAGAAGGAACATATTCAAAGGTCAAAGAAGCCTTTTCAAAAAAACACCAACGAAAAGTGGCTGTGAAAATTATAGACAAAGTGGGAGGACCAGAAGGTAAGAAGCAGAACACAAAAAGTTGAGGCAACACAGAGGAGATTGAACAGGATGGTATGTCTTTTTAGAAATGGATGCCTAACTGGATTTACCTTTCCAAGGGCCAGGTTTCCCCACTGCAATATTCTTTCCAATAAAATCTGTCCTTCCTCTAAAGGAAATCTACATTGCCATAAGCCCAGAATAAATCCACTATGACGTCAATACAAATTAGATAATTTGTGTTATTTCCACGATGACATCATGATGTATGTGATGTCACTTGCTGTTCCCTGTCCCCACATGGACGCTGCTGTATGTTGCCCCTACAAACACACTCTCTGCATTGCTATTCTACCATCTGTTGTATCATTTGCAGCTTTGCAGACTCTAGCCCCTTTTGCATCCATCTCACCAGGAGACATTTATCTGGCTAAAGGCAATGAACTATAAGTACCATTTCAGAAATCTTAGACCAAGGGTGTCTAATGTGGCACTTAGAGGCTCCAGTCTGCCCACAAACATAGCACGTTCTTGGCCCAATCTGACTTTTAGGAAATAGATTAATTAAAAAGAGAGGGAAAGCTGGCATGCTGTGAAAAAAAAAGAAACAAGTTTCCAGCATTGTGTAAGAATGTCACATAAGCCTATAGAATTCTTAAGAAGATAAAAAATGCCAAGGGACAACAGTCCACCATTTTAATGAAAAGTTATGCCCACTGGCCTGGGAAACAAAGGAAGGGGAAGCTGATGGGGGGCAAGGAACTTTTAAGAGAGCTGGAGATCTACATTGGTTGATAGTCATGTCTCTTATTTCAGTTGTATTTTGAACCTTTGCAACTGGATTTCGTAATTCTGGTTGGGCCCCTGGCTTGCCCTGCAATCATCACAGGCAGAAAATTCACAATTTCTTCAAACCTGACCTTGGCTCTGTGGGAACTTTTAGCAAACTGGGTCTCGTGCAAAAGCAAAGATGACAAACAGTGGAATGAATGGGCACTAACCAGCAGGTTTCTCTTTCCCAAAACTTCCTTGGCTGTGATTATTCATGATCAGGTAACTTCCAGGATACACTGCCGCACGTGCGATACATGCAAAGCTTTTTAAAAAGCTTGCAACAAAACTGTTCTTTCCAAAGCAAAAGCAGATGTTTAAGCCAGCAAACCACGTGCAGGCTCAGCTTACATTAGCCTTTAACTTCTGCCCTTCCAGGTGTTGTCAAACTCCAAACTCCCAACATCCCTCACTATCAACCATCCTTATTGGAGCTGCTGGCAACATCTGAGGGCTGCCGGTTCTGCACCCCTGACCTCCTCTTATGGAACCCAGTGGAGATATCTTCTTCAAAGGCCTGTCTTTGCCTCAAGTCAGGCAGGGGGCCATGAATGAAGACCACAGCCTTGTAAACTCCTTTTCCCAAGGAGGCTCAGCACCCTGCCTGCTGATGTCCTTTGACCATGACCACTTGTAGATTTTGCCAAACTTTTAGTTACTCTAGCTGATGTTTACCTATTCTCTGTTACATGACAGGGATGTCTGACCAGTTCTACCCACCATCCCAAATTTTCAAGCATATCATTATTTTTAATGGGATACAATAGGAAAATAATGAAATACATGTGATGGGATCCTATTTAATTATTTAAATTACTGTACATCCAAACTACATTTAATCCAATATATTTCTGGCCTGGCCCCATCCTCTTCTCCATGGTGTTTGACACAACAGTCAAAGGTCAACTACTGTATAACTTTAACCTGAAAAACACTGTGGATGTTACTTATGCAGATTTACCCTGGTTAGTACAATCATGGTTTATCTAATCAATTATCATTTTCTGAGTTCACCCAGCATACTGATCCACAAACTCACCTCAGCAGTAGTTTCCTCAGTAATCTATGCTAAAAAGCATTTGATTCATTTGGGGCTCAATGTGTCAGCCAAAGATACAGAACGATTTTCTTCCACCTATTTTGGGGGTCATTAGCAATTCGGGGAATTATTTTTAAACCTGTCTTGTAAAGGCAGAGCAGGAGCACTGTCAAAACATGCTCCTCACTTTGCCTGCGCAAGTCCCAGTAGGCAGTTGAGTACCACAAAGTTGAAAGCCTCCACGCTACATTAAAATGTAATTATTAGAAGTGGTACATTTATTTCTTGCCCAACCTAAATTTGTTTTATTCAGGGAAGTCATACAATTCCATTTTAGGGGCTTTCAGTATTGCAAAGTTTGAGAACCTCTGCGCTACAGTCCTTGTCCCCTAAATGCCATCATTGGCCCCACTCCCCCAAAGGTTGTCTGTGTGTTTCAGCTGAACAGCACTGTACTGGTGGTGTTATACCTTTAGTCATTTAAAATTCTGTACAATTCCAGAACTGTGGAAGAAATCAAGATGCTGCTTTGTGCTAGAGAGCTTAGTGCTAGATAAACATGATTCAGGTCCAGGATACCGGATGAATCAACATAATATGGGACAAATGTTTCCAGTGTCATCACCATTCGAAAAAACTAATTCTTCCTCTCAAGGAAATTATGGTTGAGCAAGCCATGAATGTAACATGGGAACATGTTCATCTCCAGCTATCTATTGTCTTAATACTTCACATGCTTTGGCTAATTCTGGCTTTTACCTCCCCAGAGTTTATCGAGAGATTCCTGCCTCGGGAGCTCCAGATTGTCAAGCGCTTGGACCACAAGAACATCATCCGGGTATATGAGATGCTGGAGTCCACCGATGGAAAGATCTACCTGGTGATGGAGCTGGCAGAGGATGGTGATGTCTTCGACTGTGTCCTACAAGGAGGGCCCCTACCTGAGAGCCGGGCCAAAGCGCTCTTCCGTCAGCTGGTAGAAGCAATCCGCTATTGCCACAGTTGTGGGGTAGCGCATCGTGACCTGAAGTGTGAAAATGCCCTCCTGCAGGGATTCAATCTGAAACTTACAGACTTTGGATTTGCCAAGTTGCTCCCCAAGAACCGCAAGGAGCTGAGCCAGACATTCTGTGGCAGCACGGCCTACGCAGCCCCTGAGGTGCTGCAGGGCGTGCCCCACGACAGCAAGAAAGGAGACATTTGGAGCATGGGCGTGGTTCTCTATGTCATGCTCTGTGCAAACCTGCCCTTTGACGATACAGACATCCCTAAGATGCTTTGCCATCAACAGAAAGGGGTCTCCATTCCCGGCCACTTGGGGATTTCTGAGGAATGCCAGGACCTTCTCAAAAGCCTCCTGGAACCAGACATGATCCTGAGGCCTTCCATTGAAGAAGTGAGTTGGCACCCATGGTTAGCAAGTTCCTGAGGACAGGACCATGTCAAAATTCTCCCCAAATAAAAGGGGACAGGCTGTTTCCAAAATGCTCACATATATTTTAACGTTATGCTCAGTTTCTAGTCTATCCTTAATCCACCCTGAGAAGGGGCGCATTTTGTATATTCCCCTCTCATCAGAAACTACATTCACTTGTTCAAAGATGCCTGCAAAGGTGGAGATAGTTAGAAACAACTCGAAGACCAAGAAAAAGTAGAGCAAAGGTGCTTTCTTGCTGAAATTTCTTTCTCAGATACAAAGAATCATGTTTCCAATGCTGAATCTAAGAAACTTCCCATAGGAATCAAAGGACAGCATGTCTCCTCCCCCAGCTGTTCCTCAATAGCACCGCATTAATCACTTTCCACTGGAGGTCTCCATAATATCACAAGTGGGAGGGATGTGCTACCATGCACCAAGCCAATGTATTGGTCCATCTAGTACTGTAATCCACAGAGTTGCCAGAGCACCCTTTCCCAACCTGATGCCTTCCAGATGTATTGAAATTACAAATCCCAGAACTTCTAGCCAAAGTCTCAATATATCTTAGGATGAATAATTGAGGAGGATGTGGTATGTTCTGAGGTACAGATCTTCCCAGTCCTCCAAGACTGAAACAATTAATTTGGAGATGCCAGGAACTGAACCTGGAGCTCAGCTGTACAAAGCATGGGCTCCAGCAAGAGATTAGCCATAGTGGTGTGCAAAATGTTTTGAATTTGAAATGACTCAAATTGGAAACCCCACTCTGAGCACAAAACAGGCCATCTTGAACATTTGGGGAATGGATCAGGCTCAAAACAGTGGTTTCAGAAGTGAAAGACTCTGTTTGGAGGTTGAAACACCTCCCAAATTAACAAAACAGCCTGTTTCACACTCAGTAACTCACACTCAAAACGGGGCATTTCAAATTCAAAGTGGTTTGAATTCTAATTATTTTGAACTTCCCTAGTTAGCAAATACATTGCATGAGCTTCTAGATACTAGCAAGGGAACAGTGCTCCGGCACAATTAACAGAACGTTTTCCACTGTAGTGCTTGTTAGAGGTTTTGTCCTACAACTTCATCAACTTCAGTCAGCGCAGTCAATGGTCTGGCTGGCTTGGAAAGAGAGCTGTAGTCGGACACGTCTTTCACTTTATGAACTTGGCAAGACAAGTTGGAGGGTGTGAGCCTCTTCTTCACGGTGTCACCACCGCCTGCCTTGGCTTTCCAGTTGAAGGACAGGGGGCATATTTGTCAACCAAATCCTCCAGGAAACTGTCAAGTCCTATCCTGGCAATGCTCCCTGCCCTCTAAACAGCATTGTGTCTGGCAGAGAATAAGGTCCAGGCCTTATTGCTTTGAAGCTTACAGAGGATAAAAAAAATCACAAAACCAATATGAGGCAATTTCTGTAGAACTCCTTTAATTGCTGTTAATGGCAAGTCTGTAAAAGGCCAAGAGAAAGTCATAATTACAAAACTAACAGCTGTTAGAGTCACTTGTTCACCCCAGCTAGAAAATAGTCCAGGGAGATGCAGTATAATTTAAAAATGAGATAATATTGCACAACCAAGGAAAGGAAAAGAAAATAATTATGATGAAACCAGAGCCTCAGGACATCTCTCAGCTCCAATACCAGGCTCTAGGCTACCATATTCTGTCCCATCACCACAAACACTTAAAGCTGGGGGGTGGGGGGGATGCTTTCTAAAGACCATCTTTCTCAGACATTTACCTATAAGCTCTTCTAGACACTCCAGTAACAAGGCCTTGTCCAGACGGGCCTATTTATGTGTTCGCGCCCTCACTATAGGCTGTTCAGTCCCATCTTTCAGGGGGCAGAAGAGAAAAGCCACCACGGCTCCTTTCAAGACTGATATCCTCCTGATCCAGAAAGCTTGGTTTGATAGACCCAAAGAGCAGCTCTCTCAGGAATGTGGTGGACCTGGTACTTGTAGAAGGCAGATATCTTCATTTTTTAAGCACTAAATTATTCTAGAACGGCAAGCACTCATGCGGCTTGCAGTGTACCCCGCTCCCAACTGACATTTTAGGACAGAGTTGCTAGCTGCTCCTCATACTAAGCCATATTCATGGATAGCCACACATCTATCCATGATCCTTCCATTTCAGATGGCCATCTGCATGCACAGTAAGGTGTTTTTACTGCTTGAATCAAATCCTGGCTCGCATTTCCTATGGACGACCAATTTGGAAATCTCTCTTCCTCTTAATTTCATCTAGTTTTAGGGCTGACTCCTAAGTCAATTTTCCTTCAGACAGATACTGATCTTCATGAGCTGGTTGCATAGAGGAGCCCTGGAAGCATGTCTTTATGTTATCAGAAACAGCTTGGTGACCTTGAGAGCAAAGAGCTTCCATAGATTTCATAGATTATGTTTCCCTTCTTGACCTGCGCTGCACTGACCCTGCATTGAGTTACCTGCTCAAGGGACCTCCTCTCTTAGCTGCTGTTTATAGCAAGAAAGAGGAAAGAGAAAATCAGGGGTAGCTCCTTTATTCCTCCCTGGCCCTTTGAGACCCCAAGCTCCACTGAAATATTGCCCAGCAGGATGGAAAGGAGTCGTCTGGGCATGGCTAGAGCAGCTGTCAGAGTTGCTAGCTGCTACTGTCACACAAAAGGAGGTTTGATGGCTCCAGAATGAATCCATCCCAAATCAGTTAAAGCAGGGACCTTGTACCATCAGGGGGAAATATTAAGTTTGGCTTCAGAACCAATTCAATGATCTGGCACTGATTCCATTCAAATTCGATTGGGTGTGCACAGGAATAGCTATCGGTATATCACACCCCAAGAAGATAAATCTGCCTTTTGGACCCATTTTAGAAAACAGCATGATCAATTCTGAGGTCAGAGATTTAAATAATTATAGTCTGACTCAATTGCAATGCAGCAACAGCTAAATCTGAAGCAGATCAAAAGAACCACACTGCTCCCCCATTTTCCCTAAAGGGAAGATGCCTGTATAGATTATCATCTCGGGAGAACGTGAATAAGGAAGCAACCTTGCCAAGACAGATTTGGCAAGGGTGGAGAACAGCCAAAAACCTTCAAAGAAGCACGTTTCTTCCCAAAGATTTAAATCTACAGAAGAGGATCTACGGGTGCTCTTAGTAGCAGCAATACAAGGGGAAGCCTGAAATGTGTGACGCTCTGGCGAATATGGATCCTTCTGGGAAGATGCAGGGTGAGTCTTCCTAATAAGGCAAGGGATACGTGAGTCCAGGCCATGCTCTAGAGCACTAACTCAATGGACATGCTACCCCCCATCAGGGCCCTTTAAAAGAGATCTTAGCCATGATTATTAGCACAGCCCAGGAGGAACATCTTCTGGGGCTCTTTTCCCTTCCATAACTGGAACTTGTGCAGGATACTCCAAGGGGTTATGTGGCAAGGAAGGCCTCAGAACAATAATTCTGTTTTTAAAAAGTGCTTCAATTCCCAGGAAAACTGGATCAGCTTACATCTGGGGGTGGGAGAAGAGAGATGGGTTTATGCAAAAGTGAGTTCCAAACCATGCACTGTGAGTCTGAGGGGGCCTGTAAGAGCCACAAACACCACACAAAGTTGTTATAGAGTTGTCTTATTAAGACTGGAGTTCGCAGAGGTAAGCAAAGAGATTTGCTCCTGCAAATCCTTAGAAGTTGTTTGGATTTCAAGACACAGAACAAGGCATAGCTAACAAGCTGCCAGACTGAAGACATATAGGTAGAATAATCCTAATTATTTCTGAAGGTCACTCAAATAGGGATAATTCACCCTGCCCCATACTAATAATCCATTCTAAAATGCCAAAAGAAGAGAGAATGAAATCAAATCCACACTGCCCTGCTCTTGGAGAATGATTTCTTCAGGGGACTGTCTGGAAAGACCCCTCTAGCACACACACCCTTTCCACCATTGCTCTTCAACCCCTCTGTACAACCTAGCCACCATCAGGATCTCAGCAAGGATTGTAGTCCAAGTTCCCAAATAGGATTTGAGCAGAGATGAGATGTAGCCAGCCCAAAACACTTTTACAGAAGAAAAAGGAACCAGGTGCTCTGTGATTTAATTCACACTGGATGGTGCAGAGGGGGGAAGGGGCAAGGATGAGCCCAAGATGCACATGGGGAGCGATGGCCCTTGTTATTCCCAGTCCTCCCATTCTTCATCTTCCATCTGCAGATGGGAGGGAGAAAGAGACAGACAGACAGACAGACAGACAGACAGACAGAGAGAGAGC